GAAGAATTCCAGCTTTGCTTTCATTTGGATCTTGCATGAGATTGTCCTTTGGGTGGTTCTGGTGGGGCTCCCTTGTTTTACTCTGACAGATAAGCCCTGAATTGTGACATTTAAGCAGTGACTTTGCAAAATTTGATTAGTCAGTAAGAAAAAGTACTCTTCCCATCCTAAAGATTGACAGGAACATGAGATGGCAAGAGCACATAGGACAAGAAATACTTGGGAGAGCTCAGTATCGGATCCCATCATATCATAGTACATGAATAGATCCCTAATCTCATAGTTGGAGTCACTCAGTAAAATTGTTGGCGAAGGGATTAGTAGTACGACAAAGTTATGTTGAGAAAAAAACTTGTAGTGTATTAACTTATTAATAGTAGGCATGAGAAGAATAATGTAAAAACAAATGGAAACCAGACACTGATAAAACCCCAAAGTTTCCATTCCAGATTGTCATCAGGCTCTTGCCTTTGCCATGACCAATGTCCAGTAATTGTCTGAAAAAATTTTGAATTTGGAAATTTCTTTGGTAAGCGAAAAATATAATAAAGGGAGAAGGGTGACCACAAGCCAAGCTGTGAACTAAGAACTTTTGAGGCGTGGGCCAACTGGGCCACTGCATTTTCTGCATTTCACTCTTAGATTGAACCACTTGAAACTTTGGAAGTCTGATCCTCACTGTGGTGTTACTGAGGTAGAGAGGCTGGGATTAGACTGCAGTGGGAGAATCTCCACAAATGTGATTCCACCAGAACCTCACCAGCAGCCCTATATCTCTCTTGACTTGACAACTTGGATTCCATTAAAGGGGTTTAGTTATTGACATTTCAGAAGAACTTCATTATAAAGTACCACTTCCCCCTCACCAATGCCACCCCTCAAGATTCCCCATTATTTCCCTGATCACCCAGAATCACCGAATAAGAGGGATCACCATCTCCTTTCCCTTCAATACATCAAACCTGTCCTGTCAGTCCTGCCCAAGAGTGGCCCTTACAATCCTTCTTTCCTTTCCATGCCCATTGCCATTGTTGCTTTCATTCATTCAGTCCTCTCTTACGTCTCATCTGGACAACCGCAATACCTTCTTGACTCTCCCTGCTACCAGACTTTCTTCTCCAGGATCCACCCATCTTATTACTGCTTGCATTATCCTAATCTCACCCTTCCCTGGCACCAATTGCAAAAAGGCCCTTTACACTCTGGCTTTCCTTTCCTTTGTTGCTTGGTGTGCTCCTATGCTGGTCTGTGTCCTGCTTCTGGAGCAGCCCCTTTGTTCTCTTACCTTTGCTCACACTGTACTTTTTCTTGGAATTCTCTCTCCTCTTTTCCTTGTGCTAGTCTTACCCATTCTTCAGGGACAGGGTCAAATATTATCACATTCACCAAGTCTTGTCTGAACCCCCCAAACCTGATGTGATTGCTGACTGTGATAAACCTCAATATCACTTTTTATCTTTTGCTCTGACTTGCCTGACAGTTATTTATATGTTGATCTTGGTACACTTGGAAAGAAGGACTGTGTCTTACTCTGCGACCAGCAAAATACCCTGCACCACATAGTAGAACAACTGTTCCATAAGTATTCATCTCATAAAATACATAGATGGATGGGGTGGTCTCATCTACAGGTGGGGCCCAAGGGTAGGTTAAAATGTAACTGCTGAGTTGTTGGGAAGACAAGAATGTGTATATAACCTCATGTAAATGGCTCTCAGAGGATCATATGCAAGAGAGAGCTTAGGACTTTTGATACCTAACACTCACTGAAAAATCATCCTGATGTACACTGGAGTGTGAAAGACTAAAAGGTCTGAAATGTGACACTCAAGAGAGTTGTTAATCAAACACCAGACAGCTCCACCAACAGTATACAAAGGTGCTTTGCAAACAGTACAGTGATTATTAAGGATATTATTAACATCATACTGTTAATGTGTAATGAAGTTGGCTCAGACACTAATGAAACCAGTGATTGTTTGGGCATGTGCTAAATAACCAGCGAGGTTTCTGAGCTACTGATCCAAGACAGGGCAAACTTACCAGCTATTCTTACTGAAAAATGGTGTTCCACCTGACAAAGGGCCTTTTGTGTTTTGGTTTTGTGAAAGTTGTGGTTTTGTAATTTGAGGAGATGGGCATGGGGATAAGTAAATGTAGAGCAGGCTGTGGTCATGCTTCAGGAAGTTTTTAGGAAGGCCCACTTAACCTAGTTGAAGTAAATTGCATATGGAATAAGTGCCATTGTTTTAAGGCCACGCTCCCAGCTCACACTGATATGTTGTAGTTGACTTAATTGTCAGGAAGTAATGCTCTTGTTTTTGTGTTTTCTCTTGTGATCCAAGCAAAGTAGATTTATGTTGACTTGGTGACTCATAAGGCAGACACTCTGTCCATATTCGGTTGTTTTTCAAAATGATCAGATGGCTGGAACCACCACACTTGCTAAAAGAATATACCTCTTGGTGCATGGCTTGAAACTAGAATTTACTTCTTAGAAGAAAGCATTTGGCACTCTACTTTTATTGGTCACAGCACTATAAAAGGGGCATGAAAATACCTTGGCTCTACCTAGTGAAATCTAAAGTTTGGGGTTCATAGAGGTTAATCATCTAATATGATAGAGAATTTCCTCAGGGTGGAAAGTTGAAGTTTGTTTTAGGGGTGTGGTATTGTTTAGACTGGCCAGGCTCCCACCTATAATGCAATTAGGCTGGATAAGAAAGAAGCTAGAGAGTCATGGGGGAGAGCACAGTGTCATTTCCCTTCTTTTCCCAGGCTTATTTTTTTTTTTTTTTACATTATCATGCAATTTGCCTTTAACATATATTGGCTTTTATTGTTAGACCGTTTTTTCAGCTAATTAGGAGATCCTGACAATTTCAGCTCTCTTTTAGATTAATTTTTCACTAAACATTTGAAGAACATAAGAATTATGAAACACATTCACTTATCCATGAAGCTTGTATTGCTTACCTGCTATGTTCTGAGAATAGGAAGTAAAGCATATTTGCAGCCCTCACCCTGGTAAGGGAGATTATGAATAGGGCAAAATCAATGACATGCACTAGACGAGACTGTGTATAAGGTACTAAGCCCAGGGCTTGTTGGAGAGTGCAGGTTAGCTGCCTTCCTTGAACTTCAGTGGTCAAAGCCATTTTTAGGGTTGCAGGTGGAACTATTTTTTTATTATTATTATTCATTTCTTTATTGATTAAGGTATCATATATTTGTCTTCAAACCCCCATTCTAATCCCCCACTCACCTCCACTCATGCCCCCACCCCCCTATTGTCCTTGAGCACTGGTTAGGCTCATATGTGTGCACATAAGTCCTTTGGTTGATCTCTCCCTTTTATCCCCACCCTCCCTTTGAGGTCCAGCAGTCTGACCCATGGCTCCTTATCTCTGGGTCTGTTCTTGTTCATCAGTCTATGTTGCTCACCATTTCCCCTAGATGAGTGAGATCATGTCCTACTGGAAATATACTTATAAGAATAAAAAATGAGACAAGCAATAATCGTTATGCTGAAAGGCATATGCATCAGTCTGTAGTGAGTTTCTTTCTGGGCCACCAGTTCTTTTGAGGCCCAATTTCAATGTCATGAAATTGGAACTATGTTTTGATTTTATACGAGGCTTGATTAACACTTTTTGCTTCCTTTAATTTTTTTCAACAAATAATTATTGTGGAGAACAAATTGAGGAAGGGGGTAGGAAACACTATGGCAGGGAGCATGGTTACAATTTGAAATAGGTTGGTCAAATAAGACATATGCTTCAATGTCACAATTCAGGCCATATTTGTCAGAGTAAAACAAGAGAACCCTGCCAGAACCACGCAAGGGGCAATCTCATGCAAGATTCAAATGAAAGCAAAGCTGGAATTCTTCCTCCACAAATCATCTCTGAGTTTCAGAGCAAAGAAAAGGGCAGCTATGAAAGGTAAGAGCTATTACCAATGAGATGAGACACAAGAAACAGAGGAGCAACCGGGAGAGGCTTAGTGCTGAGGGAATCGGTGTTGAGACCCTGAGGTGGGGCGTGTCTGGAGGTGCAAGGAATAGCTCCAAAGGCTGTAGTGGAAGGGAGCAACAGCATAGGGGTAGGGCAGGGATAGGGCCAGAGAAGGAATGGGGCAAGAGGGTCATCAAGGGACTTACAGCCATCCTGTGGCTTTTCCTAGAGTTTGTCCCTAGTGACCAGCCTCCAGCCATCAGATGGCCTGTTGAGCGGTTACAACATAGGATAGGTTATCATTATGATTTCCATCTATACTTTTACTATTATTGTTCCTGCAGTGAAAAGCAAGATATTTCATTTGTGGGACAAAGTCTTTTCCTTGTGTACGTAGCAGGTATAGGGATGTTTGTCTCTATTCTGCCTTATTCTGTCTGACACTAAGGAGAGGTGTGGCTAGAATTGTTCTTTTCAGTAATTCTGCTAATCTGGTACATGCCTAGGAGGACATAGATAGTGCCTGTGGTCTCTAGATTCATACTGTCTAATTCCTTTCAATTACACTGGTAACATAAGTCTATCTCTTATAGTTACTTTTAACACTAATGGCACAAAAATGAATTCTCTGGAGGGCCAAATACAAGCTCTTCAGGCACATAAAGCGGGTTAACAAGGGTGGCTCAGTGTTAAGCTATGCCAGAGCTGAGTCCAAATTTTATTCCGGTACAGGGATGACTTTCTATGTGGCCTCTCTGGCTCTGGAGCTAATTTGGATGCTGAGTAGCCCCACAGGTATTTATATGTAGTGTTTGGTATTTTTACTGGGTTCTATTCTTCTCCCTTGGATCACCTAAAATGGTTAAGAATTTTCTAGTGGGATTAAGGTTGTGATCTCTGGGGAGGGGTGGGCCATCTGCTCTCGGTTATTTTTGTGTTAGCAGCTTCCCCTTAAATGTATGTTCACAACTGAGCCAGAGCCTTATCAGCTGGGGTGAAGGGAAGACTGGTCTAGGTGCTGCTCCTGAACTTGGTCTCTGAGCCATGGCTTCCCAGAGACACTCAGGTAAAAGCTTCATATTCTTTATCTTCTATTGAGCACAAGTTTGCTAGGGCAGTAAATCTATCATTTGCCTAAAAGATGCTTTTTGGTTAAATGAATTTAGTGTTGTCTAAATAGTAAATAAGACATTGCTCATCTCTGTTCTGTCCTTGCCTTCTGAGGCTGTTTTAAAGACAAAATATTACTCTTATTCTAGTAAAATGAGCAATTTAAGTGGCTTATTTTAATAAAAATGTATAAGCATTTTACTATATTGTATATTTTTCAGGACATTTTATGAAACTGTAAGAAAAATTGTGTGAAGACAGAAGGTTTTTTTGGTTAGAAATTTTTGGTGATATAGAAGATGCAAATTCTTAACAGTGCTTTAAATCAAACATAAAGTGTCTGGGGAAAGGTCAATCGAATAGGGAGCTGGAAGGAGGAATATTTATAACTAATATATTCCATAGTAACTTACCACATATCTTCATCTTTTCTGAACAATGCTTTTAGTCTTCCTAAAGAAACAGCTATGATCCTTTTGCTATAGCACTTAGGTTATTAACTGGAAAGGGGGCAAAACTTCAGAACCCCCAGTCCATCGTTACTCTAAGAGTCTTCCTCTTGTTTTGTACTGTGATGTGAAGGAAGCTTTTTGGCCATGGACAAGACATCGTGGAATAGAGGTCAAAGGACTAAAGGACAGGCAATCTCCTCAGAATGCCTTCTCTCTAGTCAGCCCGCTGCCTGTTTCTCCTCCAAAGCCAGGAATGTTGTTGCTGCTTTGTTGCTCTCTCCCTGAGTAACGGTTCCCTTTCTTAGAAACCAGGCACTTTGTCCTGTCTCCCAGTTTTCAGATTAAGGGACAAAGTAATTATCAGTGGAAATCTTTTAGAAAAATTGTTTTTGAAAACTTGGGATCACCTCTCAAAATTTAAACAACAGGAAGTTTAGAAAGATCTCCTTTGGTGTTTTAAAACAAATGTGCTGCAGTAAAACTTCCTACTTTAATGAATTAATATACAATGTTTTCCTTGTTCAGGAGTTCAAGAGCTATTTGTTTTTCCTCACTCCTCCCAGAATCCATTTTACAAACATGGCACCATATGCCTGAGATTATGGTAATCAGCCCAATTACACATTCTCTGGGTGTAGGCACACTATTCAGCCATACCAGTTGTTCCAATGGACCTTGAATGCATGTTAACTGGTAGAGTAACTCCCCATTTTATTTACTAATTACGTGACAAAATAGGGACCTATTGTATTTAAAAAGTGACATAATGACAGCACACCCAACCCCAACTTTATTGTTGCTTAAATCTGGAGGCTATAACTGTGACTAAATTAGATAAGCTAATTGACATCTTTTAGATGGATTTTTAAATCAGGAACTATTGTTTTGTATTGCCATAGGTCCTTGGGCCCAGGAAACAAAGGGAAAAGAAGTATTCACAGTAGGAAAACCCACATTGCCCTGAAATGGGCTTTGTGTGGACAAAACTGTATCAGAATCCATTTTTAGTGACCATCCCCATACTGAGAGGACATTTCAAGGACAAGAATTTATACTTTTGTTATTGAACACTTATAGTCTATAAAATTGTGTAGATTTAAATCCTATACCCTTTGGCTTTTTGAGTTGAGGAGCGGGGTGGGGTATGGGTGAGAGGGAAGTGATATCGTTTGCCATACTGTGCAGCCATTAATTCCCTTCACCAGCCACTGGCCAGTGGGTTACACAGTCCCAGCAGTCTATTTTCAGGGCAGGGGTGGAAAATAAAAAGATGAGGTGAGAGGGAATAATCAAACTGGATTGGCTTTAAATAACTGAAAAAATGGTACTCAGAAGATTTGGTTGAGGATAAAGCTGAATGTTGTGTACTTTTAATCACCACTAAATGACTGCCTGCTACTTCAACTAGAGAAACTAAAAACACATGTTCTATTGCTGTCAGGTTGGAAGTCCTTTTTTCCTATAGGGAAGACAGAATGTGCTGCACATAATGTATACAACATTAAGGAAAGCTTCGCCCTGGCTGGGTGGTTCAGTTGGTTGGAGTGTTGCTCCATGCACCAAAAGGTGGTGGGTTCAACTCCTGGTTAGGGCATATACCCAAACTGCAGGTTTGATCCTGAGTTGGGGTGTGTGTGGGAAGCAACCGATCAAGGTTCCCCCCACACCCTCCTCTCTCTCATCAATTTTTTAAAAATTGTTAACAAAATAGCACTAGAATAGAATTTGACTTCGTGGAAGTTCAGTGACATAATTTTTTGTGTAATAATCTCTTATTTAACCCTCCTGATACCAGATGTAATCTAAATTGTGTTACCAGTCTATCAGTGATCCAAGAGATTTATATGGGTTTTTTTTCCTAAATGCAGTGTACAAGTGAAGTTGTTAATAACATTGAATCATTCTGCACACATTCTGTTTTTAAGGGAAAAAACACTTTTTGATTTTCTATGAAATTCTATGAAAGACTACTTTTCAACCATGACTCATGAACTTCGCCTCATTCCAGCTACTTAGGCATTTATTCCCAAATGTCTGACGACACCCCCCAGGTGCATGAGCATGTCTGTTAAACAAGGGTCTTATTCATCGGCTAGGCTCCGTTCCATTTGTTGAATGTTCTCAGGAAAGCAATATACCGTTTCTTTAGAAGCCAATATTTATACACAGAGTGACTAACATACTGGTATGTTGGACTTAGCAATTAACAGACCAGAAATAGCCTGAACTTTTTTTTTTTCCATTTGGGTTGCTGTTCACTGTTTACACTGTACATTATACCACTCGGGGAAAGTGCTTAGTTAGAAAAATGCTACCTAGTTATAATATTTACTTTTTCCTTAAAGATTCTTATTTTGAGCCACTTAGGCAGAAGGGGAAATGAATATTAGTATGAAATATGTGAGAAAATACACAAAATGCAAGCAAGATTATTAAATAGAAATTTGTCTAATGAGATATTTATAGTAAAAAAAAAAGTTGTAATACCCTAACGGGTTGGCTCAGTGGATAGAGCACTGGCCTGCGGACTAAAGGGTCCTGGGGTAGTTTCGGTCAAGGGCATGTACCCTGGTTGCAGGCACATACCCAGTGGGGAGTGTGTAGGAGGCAGCTGATCAATGTTTCTCTCTCAGAGTTTCTGACTCTCCTTCTCCCTTCCTCTCTGTAAAAAAACCAATGAAATATATTTTTTAAAGTTGCAATGTTATATTATTTATATATGTGCTTGATTAATTAAAAACCCAAAACGTTTTATTGATATACTGAGGTTTATGTAGGCATCTCGTAGCATGTTGGATGTTGTTCAGGAATTTTCTGAAAGAGGACGCTTGTTTATTAAGTGAAAAATGATGTGGCTTTTGAAGCAGGCACAGCATGAAAGTCAGACTGCTACTGTGGAATAAATATCTAAAACTTGACTGTCCAGTTACATTTCCAACCACATTCTAACCTACTAAGTCTATAAAGGACCGCCGGTTAGATGCCAACACCAAAGGGTCACAGGAACTGCCCCTAATTTTCCTAAACAGAAATATTTGTTATAAAATGCTTTTAATAAATAAGTTTTAAAAGCTTTTAGTGGTGGTGACTTACCTCCGTCTGTCAGTCAGTAGGCATGTACTGTGTTACTTGTGTATACAAGGCCCTGAATCAGGTTCCTGGGGCTCCTAGTATATCGGCAAACTTTTCTGTGATAGAGAAATCTCATCACCATGTCCAGATAAGGGCCACACTGTGAGGTTAAAATTAGAGAGTTACTAGGGCAAACATGGCCTGGACAGAGGCAGGCAGGAAGGGAAGCAGTGCTGTAGTTATATGTGTCCAAGTTTCATTTAATGATTGATGACATGCCCTTTCTCAGATAACTACACTAAATCAAGGCAAACTTCTGGAAGTTTGGGGAGGTTAAAAGGCTTCGGATTTCACGTACTTAGGTATTGCTAAAGACATAAAAATTGTTCCCTCGGAGATAAACACCTCAGTATATGTCATTAATTAAGATTGAAGAGCCCTGGCCGGTTTGGTGCAGTGGATAGAACATTGGCTTGTAGACTGAAGGGTTCTGGGTTCGATTCTGGCCAAGGGCACCTGCCTGAGTTGTGGGCTCGGTCCCCAGTAGGGAGGGTGTGTGCAGGAGGCAGACGATCAGTGATTCTCTATTATCATTGATGTTTCTATCTCTCTATCCATTTACCTTCCTCTCTGAAATCAATAAAGAAATGTGTGTTTTTTTAAAGATTAAAAAGAGCACCAAAGAAAAAAGATCAATTCCATTGTTATTTTTCTCTATTCTCTTATTTACAACAAAGGGAAGGAAAGGAAGTACAAAGCTTTTATCTCATCATGAAGTCAGTGCCTAGCTATATCTCATTTCGATGGAGCCCACAAATCTGGGTATTTTCTGTCTTTCGGAAGCTGTCAGTGTTGTCATTTATAAGCTCGTAGAGTTGTTAATCTCTTTGAAGCTAAGCGGTAACAAAATATTTTGCTCTTGTACACATCATTCATATTTTATGCAAAGTTTTGACATGGTAGCTATCTCATCAGCAGAAATGTATTATTCCAGCTTCCTCCTAAGCACACTGTGTGACAGTTTGAAATAGTTTGAGACTAAATAATCGTAAGGTTAGAAAAACAGGAGGTAAGCTAATTCGGGTTGCCGAGTTCCACTTAATTGGATTTATTGCAAAAGAGTACTAAAGTTCACAAATTTGCCATCAACATTGTTAACTTGCTTTAAGTATTTTCAGTCTGTCACTTATTAGGCAATAAAGCCAACGTTCCTAGAAATGCCCATTTTATCTTGACAAATAAGTGTTTCCACACATATGAAAGAGGCTTGCCCTGGCTGGTGTGGCTCAGTTGGTTGGACATCTTCCCGTGCACCAAAGGGTCATGGGTTCTATTTCTAGTCAGGGCACATACCCAGGTTGTGGGTTCGTTCCATCCCTGGTCAGGGCATGTACAGTAGGGAACTGATCGATGTTTCTCTAACACATCAATGTTTCTCTCTCACACCCTCTCCCTTATTCTCTTTTTAGAATCGATGAAAAATATATCCTCAGGTGAGGATTTTTTTTAAAAAAACAAACAACAAAAAACTTGATTCCACTGTGGAAATCATATCTAAAAGGGTCACCCTGGATTTTTCACATTGCATAAAGAAAAAAAAAATAATGCCTAAAGTTAGTATCCCAAAGCATCATTAACTTGGGGATTCATACAATTTGCTCTTTGTTTGGGTTAAGACCCTAAACTATAAGAATGATAGAGTGGTGAGCAACTTCATTGAATGTGACTCCACATTCACACTGATACTTCCATGTTCATTGGGAAACCATGGATTATTTCATCATGTTGATGCCTAGAAGAGAGTGAAATTAAAATGAGTAATGTTCAAAGTTTTATTATGTAAATAGAGACTTTGGTAAGGGAGGAGGAATTTTCAAATATGGCCCAAGACAATAGTCTGAAGGGCTAAACCAGCTGAGATAACTAGCCAGTGTAGCCTAATCTTATAGGTTTCTGATTCCCTGCCAAATGGCATTTAGGAGCCACTGATAATTTAACTTCCTGGCATTTACTGTTACTGGAGATTTATTTGGTTTTTGTACTTGGCTCTTAACAAGAAAGTAAATTGTTGAGTGCACAATTTCAGCATGGAAAGGCCAGTAAGATAAAGATTTTATATCATATGTGAAGGACCAGCAAGAATGAAATAGGAGATTCCAAAACCAGTTTGGTTCAATGGATAGAGAGCATCGGCCTGCAGACTTGGAGGTCCCGGGTTCGATTCCAGTCAAGGGCATGTACCTCGGTTGTGGGCACATCCCCAGTGGGGTGTGTGCAGGAGGCAGCTGATCGATGTTCCTCTCTCATCGATGTTTCTAACTTTCTATCCTTCTCCCTTCCTCTCTGTAAAAACTCAATGAAACATTAAAAAAAAAAAAAAAGAATGGAATAGGAGAGTGATTTTCAACATTCTATCGCTGTAACAGGCACCTTTTTCTGTATGTGGAGGTTAAAGGCAGTTTCAAAGCTGCCTTATGTAAACTGCATAGTTCAAGGAGATGGACCCTGGTTTCACCATGTCTCTACTTTTCATTTCTAATTCAGTTGTGTAATGGAACATCCTGCTTTCCTTTGGGGGGGGGGGGGGGAGTACTAGTGAGAACCATTCTCTGAGCTTGATAAATCTCTGCTGTGATACAGCTGTCTCAACCAATTATCTTTGCCCAAGAATGTTACTTAACTTGCTTCAATCATCGGCTCTATGGAGATGAGGGGTCTGTCTGTCTGCCAGCACAAGCTGGATCTGGGCTGGCTCAGAACATGATGCTTGTCAGTGGTCCGATTCCCTCTTTCGCTGGGCTGGCTTCAGAAACTGACCCAATTCTGAGTGACAGTTCACCAGCCTTCACCGAGGCAGGGTCTGAGACACAGGGTGCGGTTTCCTTAGCTCACACTCTGCTATTTGGTTGCCTATGGCAACAAGATCCAAACAAATTGGACATGTGTTTGTATAAAAAAAAAAAAAGGCTGGGAATGGGACCCAAAGAGGGAGTTCGGGGCTGTTGAGTTAGTGGAAGAGCTGTGGTGAGTATCGGGCAACTGCTCATTGCTTTTCCCTCATTCTTTCTTTCTAAATTATGCCGGGGATATCTGCTAGCATAATAACCATGTTTGTGGGTAGTTGAACAAAATAGTATCCATTCTCGTGTTTCCTGAGCAAATTAAGTACTTGCTGTTTATTTGTCTGTGTAAGTTTCTTGTTCAGGGAGAGACAGACTAGTTAATATATGTTTAAGAAGCTGGGAGCTTGTAGATACTCACATTTGCTACCTTTTTTGGTGACAGGATTAACAGGGTGCCTTAGTAATATTTGTCATTGCAAGTGGGTGATCTACAGTCAGGGGTGGGTGGGGGTCAGTCAGGATGGTCTGAGGAGACTTGTTCATGTTAAGGCAGTGGAAGATGTTCTTGGAATAATCAGCTTAACAGTTTTTATAAGTTAATCCCTCTCCCCACCCAGATTTTACTTTAAAATTGCAATTTTTCAAATAGCCAATGTCCTAAATAGTATTTCTTCATTGACTATAACTATCCTCTCACTTACTTGAAGAAAGGGAGATGTAATTTTGGCATGTCCCAAACTGCACATCACTATGACAAGTAATTCACAGTCGCAAAATTTGCCAGTACCAGCTGAGAGTGCCACTTTAATAAATTCTCTCTTGCTTGATTGCCCAGGTCTCAAAAGTCAGTCAAAACTCCGTAGGCTATAAAAGAGTTCTGCCAGATTTAAAGTTAATGCAGATATTTTAAGCAAATTAATGATTGCTTGGGTGCCCAGCATTGTCTAGAGGCAGCAACAAGTCCTTGTTCAGATGAATTGAATTTTACAGTCAGGAGGACAGAGAGGTTTCCTGAGGATGCTATTCTACCACACCACCGAGGAGTTATGGAGGAGGAACTGGGAGCTGGCAGGGAGGTTTCTGGCTTACTGCCTTGAACGGACCTCATGGAGAATGAGCCTGTGAAGCAGAGGGTCTGGGCACCTCCCTCCTCCGCAAGCCAGCTGAGCCAGCCTGCCTGTGACTGGGCTGAGTATCTCTTCCCACTCGCACCCCACCCTGCAGCTGCTGCATGCAGACTGTGCCTAAAGCCGTGTGTCCATTTGTGTAAAACAATTCCGTCTCTCTTGGCTGCTCCGTCACACTCCTGCGCTCCTTCACATCACTGCTCAGAGCCACCACGCTGCCCAGAACCCCTGCCGTCCAACACAAGCTGGGATCCATTTGTCCCTCTCAGTGTCCTGTGAAGCAGCACAGCAGGATATCCCGGTGGGGGTTTCTCCCAAGCCCCCAGGGACTTCCCTGACCTTTGGCTTTCTGGCCCTGGGGGCTCTTTTCTTCCTAGGAGTCTCAGTGAAATTTCTCTGGCCTTGGTTCCTTCATGCCCCATGCGGCCTTGCACAGCTGTTTCCCGGAAGCCTCTGTGGCACAGCACACTGGTCTTCCCATTGGTCATTTGTTCTTTCTGTTTGCCCCCCGTAGGTCCCTCCAGGTACAAGGTGGGCACCATGGCTGAGAAGTTTGATTGCCACTACTGCAGGGACCCCCTGCAGGGAAAGAAATACGTGGAGAAGGATGGCCACCACTGCTGCCTGAAGTGCTTTGACAAGTTCTGCGCCAATACCTGTGTGGAATGCCGCAAGCCCATCGGTGCGGACTCCAAGGTAACATTGGGGCAAAAGCTACCCTGTCCCAAGTCCTCCTCATCATTGCAGCTGCCCATGTGGAAGGCGGAACAGGCAGTGGCACAGAGACCAGGAGGCCCTGGCCCAGGAGCCAGCCACCCTTGCTTCTAGAGCTTATTGCCTTGACAGTGTCCTGAGCTCTCTGTGTGGGACTTGGGGTGGCTGGTGCCAAGGCCCACGCCAGCTCTGTTGGTTGTACTTTCTCTTGTTTCAGGAACTGTGAGTCTTCCATCCTCACCTCCGTGTCCTTCATGCTTCTCCTTTAGAACATTCACAGCAGTGCATCCCCAGGTGTAAGGGGTGATATCATCTCAGGAGTAGGCCCCTGCCCCCCTCTTAGCACCCCTGTGTCACTCACAGAAGCCCACCCCTTCTGCTTGGTTTCTAGGAGGTGCACTATAAGAACCGCTACTGGCACGACACCTGCTTCCGGTGTGCCAAGTGCATGCACCCCTTGGCCAATGAGACCTTTATGTCTAAGGACAACAAGATCCTGTGCAACAAGTGCACCACCCGGGAGGACTCCCCCAAGTGCAAGGGCTGCTTCAAGCCAATTGTGGCAGGTACTGCCTATACTCGTTCCCGGGGGGGCCAGGGGGGAGGCCTGTGGGCAGAGATGATGCGGGGTTGCTTGGGAGGATGGGGCTAACGCTGCTGGGAGAGCTGCTTTTAGCTTTTAGCATATATATGCACGCATATATATGTATATGTATATATGCGTACACATATATGCTCGCACACACGCACACATTCGGAAACTAAAGACCACTGGAGATGCCTGTCTGTGGCAAGAGAAGGAAGTGAAAAGTATGTAGCACTTTCTCATTTGGGTAGAGTAAGTGACGGAAGCATGCTTTTTTCCTTAGGGTGTAACTCTGGGTCAGATAGTCCCTTAGAGACTCTCTTAGTCCACAGAGGGTGTGGGAGTGGGGTCTTGGGTGTCTATTCCTCAAACACTACAGCTGGGGTCCCCTCCCCGACAGATCTGGGTTGGCACACCCGCAAGTAGGCCATTGTTGAGAACCTCCCCCCCCCTCGCCCCACCCCCACGGGTAGGTTCGTCAGAAGCGTGAGGCCAGTAACTGCAGGGCCTGCATTCCCTCATCTCTGGAGAGCCCAAAGTTGGAGCTGAGCGGATGCAGCCCCCTGCAGAGCACTATCAGTGGGGCTATCCAATTGCTTCCTCCCACTGCAGGCGATCAGAACGTGGAGTACAAGGGGACCGTCTGGCACAAAGATTGCTTCACCTGCAGCCACTGCAAGCAAGTCATCGGCTCTGGAAGCTTCTTCCCCAAAGGGGAGGACTTCTACTGCGTGACTTGCCACGAGTCCAAATTCGCCAAGCATTGCGTGAAGTGCAACAAGGTAGGTTATCAAGGGAGGTCTGAATGGACTATTGTTTCTAGAAGCGTTGGACAGTTGGCGGAGCACTTGCACACACACTATCCCATTCCATCCCCACGACGGCCCTGTGATGTGGGAATTATTATGCTCATTTTACAGATGAGGAGACTGGGGGTAGAAAACAGTACCGGGCCAACTCGGGCTGTCTGAAAGGCACTCACCCTGGAGGCACAGGCAGGCCAGGCTCTAGAGGCCTGCCTCCACCACCTCGTTCGCCTTCTCTGAGCCTCAGTATCTTCACCTGTAACTTGGGGATAATAATAGCACCTGCCTCCCATGGTCGTTGTGGTGATTAAATGAGATACTGTAGACCAAAGCGCCCAGCACAGTGCCTGGTACATAGTAGGCATTCAGCAAAAGGGTTTTTGAATCTGAATTCGGTGCTACACTCCCTGGTCTAGGCCATCACATCTGGAGGAATCACTTACCAGGATCAGCCCTGGCATGCCGAGTGCTTTGTGTGTGTTACCTGCTCTAAGAAGCTGGCTGGGCAGCGTTTCACCGCTGTGGAGGACCAGTATTACTGCGTGGATTGCTACAAGAACTTTGTGGCCAAGAAGTGTGCTGGATGCAAGAACCCCATCACTGGTAGGCTAAAGAGTCCTTGCTAAGTCGGCCAGGCTAGGTTTTGCGCATGGTAAACCAACTCTCACTTTTCTTACTTCGGTTTCATCCGTAAAGGCCCCAAAGAATGCCCCCTCCCCCTTGCCATTGCGGTCCTGAAGGCCCCCCAAATAGCTTTGAATTCTCCCCCAGGCCAGGTTAGCCTTTGCAATACAGAACACTTCCTGACTGCTGCTGACTAACGATGCTGTGGCTGCGGAGTTCACGAGCCTGAGACCCACACATGGGCAGGCCATGGGCAGGCACTGCGCACGCGTGTGGGATTCTGGGGGTGGGGGTGGGGGCGGGGAGGGGAGGGGAGGAATGGGTGGTGGGGGTGGGGTAGAGGCTAGGGGAAGGGGAGGGAGGCTGTAGAGGGATAGGCCGGGATCATAACACCCCATAGCTGAAGACTAGCTCAGAGGTGCCTGCGGGCAGCTTTGTTGCCACCCGAGCTAATCATTTCATTCCTCATCTCGCGGCCGCGATCCATGTGCCCTGGGCCCTTTCCCCACCTCCACCGTTCCCATCTCCCCGGGGAGCCTTGAAATGTACATTTGAGAAGACTTTTGCCATCCTCAGGGAAAAGGACTGTGTCAAGAGTGAGCCACCCAGTCTCTAAAGCTAGGAAGCCCCCAGTGTGCCACGGGAAACGCTTGCCTCTCACCCTGTTTCCCAGCGCCAACCTCCGGGGCAGGCATCCGGGTGGAGAGAGGACTTGTCCCTCGTGGGTGGTGGTTCTTTATAGAAAAAATCGAAGCTTAGCAGCTCCTCGAGGCCCGGTAAGTGCATACCCCACAAACAGCCCAAGTTTGCCTCCTGGTGGCCACTTTGATGCCATGGCCCTGACCTAAATCAAAGAAACTGGTTATGCTGGGAGGTCGGTGCAAGTGTTACAGGACGATTGCAGTGGCATGGGATTGTGGGTTCTTTAAATCACAGAAGCCTTTGGCTGAGCTCTGGCATCTTCTGAGGTCCCTGAGAGCTGTAGCGGGGTCACGGCAGCATGGCCTAGGGGACCGATCACGGTGGAGAGGGGTGGCCTGGGAGCTGGGCAGATCAGATCCTGCCCTGCATACTTATTAGCTATAAACAGGCAAGGCAGCCGTGTATCTCTCTTGTGTTCACGCAGTTTTCTCTTTTGTTCTCTTTGTGTTTTCCACAGGGTTTGGTAAAGGCTCCAGTGTGGTGGCCTATGAAGGACAATCCTGGCACGACTACTGCTTCCACTGCAAAAAATGCTCCGTGAATCTGGCCAACAAGCGCTTTGTTTTCCATCAGGAGCATGTGTATTGCCCCGACTGTGCCAAAAAGCTGTAAAGTGACAGGGGCTCCTGTCCTGTAAAATGGAATTGTTATTTGTGTCCTCACCCTCTGCCCTTATACCATCCATAGGGAAAGAGCGGCCTTTCACCTCTTCAAAGTTGTTCCTGTCTTTTCTCCCATTTTACAGTATTACTCAAATAAGGGCACAGTGATCATTCTAGAATTTATTAGCAAAACCAACTCCACAGCAAAGTTAATTTTGCAATGGCTGCATTAAGAAGTGAACACTTAGATCGACTCTTCTGCATGTTTATCATAGAGCAGAAAAGCGCTAACCATTTACCTGCTTAGTGATGTAAGCAACAAGCCTAAGAAATAAAGCCCCCACTGAGATGCCCTTTGTGACTCAGCTGGGAACCACCGTGTCATCACGTGACACACGAGAGTTGTGGCAGCTGCTTCAACTCGATGCTCACCCTGTGTTCTGTGAGCAGAAAGAGAATTTACTGAAATGCATGGTTTAACTTCCTCATCAAAACCTCCCTTCTGTTCTTTTGTGCTTTTGATCGACTAATACGAGTTTCTAGAAAATTAACATTTGAACTTAGCTGTGATTCCAGATTGACCTTTCCCCCGTACTAACATTTGAGTTCCCCGTGTGCCGTGTTTTCTGAACGTTCCTCCTTTCAAGCATGGAACAAGCAGGTGACGTGCAAAGTGTAGGCAGATATGAGAGAACGAACCTGTTTCAGAGGAACATCGTCACAGTGAATAGTTCTGGAAGCTTGACAAAACTAACTCAGTTGTCGGGTGTTTTTTTTTTTTTTAATTAATAATATTTTGGTTTAAATAGCAACATAGATTATGGGTTTGGAGACTTGCATGAAAATATGTTAGCCCCTCAAATGTTCCTGCAGTTTGAAATCATCCTATAGGAGTAAACATAAATCTCTAGAGGGGTAGCTGAGCAGGCATCAGGACTGTCATTGACATGGACGCGACATTTGCAAACAGTGGCAAGTTGAATCCCATGTAACATAGTAGTTGTTGCTCTTTTGTTGATTTGTTAAAGAGGCTCACCAATGTCTCTTGTGATTCTTAGGACTGTTCCTCAAGAGCTTAGCTCAGTTTCTGGGGGAGTGGGGAGGTCATTATCCTCACAGGCAGATTCCATGTAGTGCTTGCCTGAGATGCCGGATCACCTGCTTATGTATTCTATCTAATTGTTATATTACATAATAGAATGAGATGATATCAAAGTGAACATGTAATGACAATACATATTAACATTCTTGTAGCTATGAATAGAGAAGCTGATGCCTCGTTTCTACATTTTGTCATTAGCGAATATCATCTAACGTTTCAGTGTATCCTTAACAGAAATAAAAGTAGCATATAAATAACTTGCCTCTTGTCATTTTATTCTACCCAGTGTAATTGCTATAAGGTATCACTACTGATCCTAAAACCTGAATGACTTTTTTTCTTCCTTCAAGGACATACTCAGTTCCATGCAATTGCATGGAACACAGAAATTATAAACAAGACAAAACAGACCTGTAATAGGGCTTGGGTCCAATGAAAAGCAACAAAAACCCATCCTGACCCAAAATAGCACTTCCCAGATGTTGTTATTCCTTAAAAGGGGCAAATTGATCATCTTGGGCCAGAGGAACGGGTAGGAAGGGCATTGTGGCTGAAAGGTATCAATTGAGAAATCACCACAATCTGTTTTTGTTGGCTACTCTTATCTTGCGCCTCCTGGAATCCCGGGCCCCTGTTGAACACCACTATGTCCTCAACCGCTGAGCTCCAACATTGGGCCTCCACCATTGGGCCTCCCTCCTTGGGCCAGTACTTATTTGGAAGGCTGCACATTTGGGCCCATGGACTTCATTCAGTGAGGGGCATGGGTGGGCAGAGGTTGCAGCTTCTAGATCATTGCTACACATCTCTAGGGCTCATGTTCTTGAGGTATTCAACCCATACATGGTCATTGCAGGACAGCACTGAAGGTCCAGTGAGACGTGTGCCTTCTGCATGCTCTCACATGACAGAAGGGTCACCAGAACATAAGGGCACTTAGTCAAACCACATTTCAGCTAAAGGCAGAGTTGGGAGGAGAGGGCAGTAGTTGATGAGCCTTAGGCCCAGGGCAATACAAGCAAAGGGCAGAACCCCCTGGGTTCTAATATTTACTGTGTTATAAGAGAATCAGAACTTCTCATCAAGAAACTGATGAGAACGCATGCCAAAACCAGTTTAGCTCAGTGGATAAAGCGTCGGCCTGCGGACTGAAAGGGCCCAGGTTCGATTCGGTTAAGGGCATGTACCTTGGTTGCGGGCACATCCCCAGTAGGGGGTGTGCAAGAAGCAGCTGATCAATGATTCTCTCTCATCGATGTTTCTAACTATCCCTCCCTCTTCCTCTCTGTAAAAAATCAATAAGATATATTTTTTAAAAAAGAAACTGAACACTTATATGAACAGGGAACATCCCCTTGTGTTTTCCTGGGAAAATGAGCAGCCTTTAAAACAATGAAGAGTCTATCTGGTCATATGGGGTCCCAAAGAAGTGGGTGGGGTGGAAAATTCAGATGGCACCCCTCTGCTTCCTGAAACCTGGGCAAAGGATCGAGCCCTGAGGGGACAAACCTCCCAATTCACTCAAGAAGTGAGCTTGTATGCTTTCCTCCATCAGAAGAGACCATGACACATCTCTAATGCCCTCCCCCTCTGCCTGCTCCACTTCAGCAAAGCCTGGACCTTTACAGCATCTAGATTCACCTGTCCTCCAATGATGCCTTCTTAGTCCTACATATTCTCACTGAGTTTATGCTTTGCCTTTCAGTCCACTGACTGCTCCAGGTTATTCTCTCAGCCCCTCCTGGCCCTTCCTCTGGATCTGCCTTAGATTTTCTGCTGTCAGTTCAACCATTCTTCATCCCCATCCCCTCAATCCTGTTACCCTTTTGCCTTCCTTTTCCACTTAGCCTGCAAAACTCCAGCCCACACCAGGGCCAAAAAGCTCTGATGAGAAAAGCCACACAATTACATGCAGCCACCAGTTGCATGTGCTTCTGCCAGGCCCTCAGCCCTGTATCGCCACTGCACCACTCCCTCTACTTCCTAACAAACTTCTCCACCACCTTCCTTTCCCAGGAAACAGACTCATGGGAGTCAGCCTATGGCTATTGCTTGCCACATCGTGCCTGCTCTTAACACTTGAGCATCTTTAGAAGTACACTCAAACCTGGGTTCTTGAACAGCTCCTCTCTCGAACAATTCATTTCTCAACCAAGTTGTTCATGAAAAATGTCTCAGCTGTGGAACAAGACTTCAGTTCCTGACCTGACAACCCTTTTATGCTGATACCTGTATGATCAGTCACGCATCTCTCAGGGGACTAAGGAGAGAATACATACATGCATATGAGTCAGTTTACTGCTAACCCTGGTGTTTTCAGTATTTCAGAAAATTGTACTATGAATATTTTCATATTTATTATACTAAAGGTAAGTCCTACTGTGTACATGAAATTTCATTTTTTGCTATACATTTCATTTTCTTTTTGTTAAATTTTCATTTACATTTCATGTCCTTTTTGTCTGTAAAGTGTTTGTTTATAGATTGAACAGTACATTAAACATGTACTGTGTGTAAGAAAGGTTAAAATGGAATCATTTGGGAGTCTGGAATGGATTAATTCAATTTACATAATTTCTGCCCTGGCCAGTGTTGCTAAGTGATTAGAGCTTAGGCCTGCAGACCAAAGAGTCGCAGGTTGGATTCCAGTCGAAGGCACGTACCTGGGTTGCGGATTTATTCATTCCCAGGCCTCAACTTTCTTTGGAGCATGTGTGGGAGGCAGCTAATCAATGTGTCTTTTTCACACAAATGTTTCTTTCCTCCCTCTCGTTCTCCCTTCCCTCTCTAAAAAATTCAATGGAGAAAGTATCCTTGGATTAGGATTAACAACAAAATTTACATTATTTCTAATGGTAAAAAATGATTTGATCTTCTAAAAATTCACTTCTGGTAAATCTTTCCTGAATGAATTAAATTTGAGAACCGAGGTTCCACTGGAAGTGCCTTATACACATTATATGGGACCCTCACATCCAACATTGGCATTCTTGCCCCTATCTTCCAGATAAGAAAACTGAAGTTCAGAGAGGTTATTTGGTTTGTCTAAAGTAAGTCACAAATCATCACCCTGGACACACCTCTAGCCTACCCATTATGACACTGCATTGCCATAGAAACGGTGAGCCCCTTTGGGCGGGGACAGTGTTTGACACATCACAATGAGGAAACTGCCATGCTCATTGACAAGGAAGAAGGAGGGGAAGTTTTAGTTACCAAATTTCCAGCAGAAAAAAAAACTTTTCTCCATCATAATTAATTGGAGCAGGACATCAATAACACATCTATTTGAGTATCAGTTGAGTGAGCCAGCAAATGAGCAGAGGGGTGTTCCAGAGCAGGAGTGGAGCAATGCCTAAATTAAAGGGACTTGTTTCTTCCACCTCATCTGGCAGCAATTCTGACAGTGAAGTTAACAAAATATTAAAGGAGAAAAGGCAAGTTATTTCAGAAAACCCTGTAAAGAAGCAAAAGACTGGGGAAGTTTTAAGAGCCCTGCCATTTTTCAAGCAGAACAGCAGCAGCAGAGATGACAGCATGTTTCAGATTGGGAAGATGAAGTGTGCCAGTGTTCGGGACTTTCAAGGAAAAGTCCTAATTGATATTAGAAAATATTGGATCACCCTAGCCAGTTTGGCACAGTGGATAGAGCATCGGCCTGCAGACAGAAAAGTCCTGGGTTCGGTTCTAGTCAAGGGCACGTGCCTCGGTTGCAGGCTCCTCCCCAGCCTGGGCTCTCCTCAGGGCTCATGCAGGAGGCAACCAATTGATGTGTTTCTTTCACATAGATATTTCTCTTTTCTTTTCCTCTCTCTTCCACTCTCTCTAAAAATCAATGCAAAAATATCCCTGGGTGAGGATTAAAAATATAATAAAATTGTTTTAAAAAATATTGGATCGATTCAGAA